GAGAATTGCGCATCTATGTTGCCACAAAGGTGGGTAATTTAGGTGTGTCCTATAATTTTGCTTACTTTTGTGTAAACAATACCGTGGAATTTCGAACCCAATGCATTGTTTTGCTTCCGTCAAACGTGTGCGCGACTCGAAGTACGTATCGAGAATCTCAGTAGTAATCGTACCAAAATCAGGTTACCTTCAAACGTACCATAAGAGAGAGATTCAGCTGAGTCTCCCGTGGAAACCTAGCTGATAACAAATGAATTTATTCGTCAAGTTCAACATCTTGCTCGTCATCAGAAAAACCACATCAGTTGAGATACCTCATCCATCAGATAATTTGACAGGTAAGTAAAATGGAAACGCAATACTTTCTTGTTCCACAATAACTTATTCACTGCTCACGATTAAGCAGCTCGGATTTATGTGATTTTATTACCACTTTTAACGGCTTATCAGTGCACTTCTATACTAAACTGGAGTTGATCTAATACGGAAAACACATGGCTGCGGTAACGACAGAAGGTGAGATAAATAAAGGGCAGAATAAAACCGTCAGCCTATTTCAGTGACTATCCATTTTATTGATGGTATGCAGAGAATGAGAACGTTTTCGATCACGTGCTCATCCAGTACTTAAAGTCAGTCTACGATAAAAGCTCGGGAAGCTCTGTAACTGTGTATCATTCTTCCTAGGAATCATCAACAGTGCGCATCTCTCGACACATTACGGCAATTTGAACCCTCGATCGCCCTGCTAGCAGCTGCAGAACAAACCGTTACTAGTGATCGCAAGTGTCGTTGATAAATTAGATTGAGTCATTGGTTGCAAGGCGGTGCAAGGTTTAGTGTGGCCAACAGAGATCCTGATAGCACAGATGACAGCGCTAACTACGAGTGTAAACAGTGGGAAACTCAGGCTTTATCTGTTGTTCATTTGTGCCCAGCGTCTATAGCACGTCAGTGGGACATTGGCTATAAGACACTCGTTGCGCACAAATTGCTGTCTAGTTAGGAAATGGGGATCGTGGGGAGTTGGGACAACGCCTACTTTATGGTTCCAATGAAGTACAAAACTAGTCGTGGGCTGTTAAATGGAGCTCCTCTGTTTTGTACATAGTTTTGTTTCCAGGATTCAGTGCAATCCTTATCTCGGAATGTGCCTGGAGTTGGTAGCAAAGCACTGTGCTTCTAAGGACACTCTTGCTCAATTCATTTTCCAATTCCCTAGACATTTGCACTCTTCAGCTTCAATAATACCCAACTTGATTTTCGTATCTGGAAACCTGGAACGGTGGGTTTTTCTACGGCGCTGTCTTGTGATATGTCGTTCCGTCCGTGCATAGCTTAGTGTTCAGATTAGTAGTTTAGGAAATCCACGAGGTTGATAGCGCACAGAATCAACCCAACTAACAATTCTTCGCAAATTAATTTACGAATCCATTTCTCCCCTGGCGGTTTGGCCTAAGGTGATGCGAAGACAGGTACCTTGTGAGTAACAACAAGCTATTGACGAGCGATTGACAATTGATCTAATCATTACATTTTTACCGCTACATACCACCCTTTTATTTAACCAAAGAAAGCACTTTCTTTGTTGGTTATTGGTGCTGGTTATTTCATGCTTAACTGTTTGTGATAAAGTAATGTTCTTGCTTGTTGGTCCGTTCTTCGGGCTTGGCAGCTAAATTGCAAACGTTTCATCACCAGTCGAGGTGACATTGTCAGTGCAGGGTGCAGTGCACTCAACCCTGCACTGTAATATTATGTGATCGCGTAGCATATCTACCGAGGTAGACAACATCAGAGATCTCGTTAAAGATCACTGTTGGGGCATTTTCGTAGAATTCTAATGTGACTTTGATTCGATTGCAGCCAACCACGGTGGCAAGTTTGTTTGGAATCGTTCCAAAGATCAGAGTAAAGTACGCCGGAAACGTCATCTAGATTTCTGTAATTTTGTAGTACCCAAATTGCTGTTGCTGTTCCGACAATTAAAACACGAAAAGAATGTCCGAAATGCGGCTTAAATAAGAGCTTTTGGAGGGCCAGCATTTTTCTATTGATCATCGACGAAGTAAAGCGTTCTACGTCGTTGCCTTGACACTCCAAAACACTGTCCAATTATTTTTAAAGGTCTCTTATTTTGGTTGTCGCAAGGATGATGAGAATCTCCATGCTTTCTTCCTAGGCATCTGACCGTTTGATGCGCTCCTCGGATGTTGAAGTTGCCTCATTGGTTATCGTGCGAAATTACTTGTTGGGAAATCTCGGGTTTGAATGTAACTTCCGGGTCACAACCACTTCTGTCTGGTCGGGGGTCAACCTGGAAGAAATCTTAGAAAGCATGCTATGAACCAAAGAAGTGTTATAAGTTTTTGCTTATAATTATTTGATGATTATTGTCCCTGTAAAACACCAATATTTTCAGTCTTAACTAAGAGTTTAAATTTAGTCAGTGGCTAGCTGTAGAATGGTCCTCACTGCCATTTGCTCACCCAGAAGAATTTTGTGAACCAGACCAGTTTGCCTGAGTCGTTTAAATCGATGAAACGAACGCCATCAAACTTTCTACAGTTTCTTAAACGACATGTTGCCGGAACAGCTGCAGCGACCACATTCCGACTAACTCAACTAAAATCTATCATCGAAAACATCACATGAAATATAGATCTTGTCTGGGGCTACCAACTAAGGTTCAAAAATAGCGTTTCTACTGTAAGGTATCCAACATAAACTAATTGTATACAAATCTCTTAACCATGCATTCTATCAGTAAGTACATTTTACATTCGAAAAAATCGTCAGAAATACTCAATGATATGTGATTACGAAGATAATCGAACGCTAATTGATACAAAGTCCGAGTGATGGATGTCGATACTGGAATATTGGTTCTTGTAAGCTTCAGCTATCATCTGAATACCTAACATACTGGTGGGTTTTTTTATGGGGGGGGTGACTATCAAACGAGGGAATGACTTACAAATTACCATTTTGGAACGTGTTGCAAATTTACACCGGTGACCTCAATTCGGTGTGTCTCTGAGAGAATGGATTACCCGAAATTCAATCTAACAATTTCAGAAGATTCTTGAAGCACAGTTTGCGACATCTTTTTGTTTTAGATCTAAAAAGATAAAATATGTTCCAACGTGGCTTTTCATTCCACAATTCATTTGAGTTCCTTTTATGATCGCTACTCACTTTGCTTACTTGTTTTCAGCTAGATTACTGATCGGGGATTTCAGAATATCTGGCTGTTTCGGAATATTTTGGTCAAAATTCGTAAAATGTAGAATGAATTCAAGGCCTCCAGATTTGAAATAGGGTGTGACACTGAGGAATCTGATAATGGCGCTCCTTTTAAGCAGAGTTCAAAAGGAAGAAACAAAGACAACACAAGCACAACCACCAACCCACCGCTAGACACTACTACGCTCCACAATAACGCACTGATGATGTCACCTCGATTGGTGATGAAACGTTTGCAATCAGATTGCCCAGGTCAGCGAACAAGCCAAAGACCATCATCTACGCTACCTGGGATACCAACATTTTCTTTTATAAAAAAGAAACAAACTAGTTGAAAAAGCCATAGGCCAAGGGAGTTCATTGTACGTTCAAACTTAGCTTTGTGTAGATGATCAGTTTTCCATCAGCCAGAGTAAACTCACCCCTCAAAAAAGAGCATGCCGCTAAACTTTTAAATACCCCCTTTGGATAAGCCTTTTTTCTGGCATTCAGAATACCGAATATCTAGAACAGAACTTTCTGATTTCCTCAGCAGTGCTAAGATAGACTTTAATAGTTATGTAAGTTTTTCCGTGCTATTTGTATGTTGAAAACGGATCAAGTGGTCAAAGTGCGCAATTTTGCAGGTAGATCTTGCAGCCAAACCCAACACTAACAGTTCGACTACTCGTGTTTGGGCAACCTGGAAAAGAACCGGTATTAGTGCATCCTTCTGGGTACATGTCAGCCAAACCACGCAAGAGTGTTACAGCTTACAGTGTATAAATTTCAAAAACAAGTGATTTTTTCTTTTCTTTTTTTGTTCAGAACGGAGTGAAAATAATTGGATTATGCTAACCATCCGTTAGGAAACAGTCCGGTCCAAGAAAGTTATATTTTTGATTAATTAGAACTTCATCTTTAAACACGGTGCTCTCAGAATTGCTCAAATTCGAAGCGAGCGGACACAAAGATGAAAACGGGCACCTGGCTTATGTGATATTCACGGATAAATCATCATTTTAATTGAAAAAGTCGAATGTCAGTCTAAATCGACTCAGTGCCTGGTTTTTAGCGTGCTACAGAGATGATGGGAAAGTCGAGTACACTGATATCATGCACTGCTATTTGACCATTTTGATTAGTGTTAAAAGTATGCAGTAAAGGCCATTGTTGGAGCTTACTGATTCAGAATTTCACAGTGAGTTGAATATGGCGGGCAATTCAACTTGTTGCTATATATCGATATAACTTCTCATGTATGTGAACGCTCAACATTTTTACTGCCTAGACCTCCGTATGTCCATTAGCCGCTTGGACGTCACGTCACTCAAAATTTTTCAACATATGATCTGTAAGACAAGAAACCTGCTCCATTAACTTGCGTCCTAATTCGGCCTTATTCGTGCATCAAATTAAAGTTTCACATCGGACAGAAAAGTATCACATAATTAGAACAGCAAGTATAACATTGTTCCTTCTTTCATTGTTAATGTATATGTTTTTTACATTAATTGCCCGACTCTTTCCGGACCCTTGCGGTTGGGCACAAATGGCGAGCATCACTCTTGCCTTCCCGAAGTAGTAAACTTATCTGTTTAGCTATATTTGCTAGTTAAAAATTTCCATTTCCAGCAGAATGACCGATTTCGTTCCAGTACCCAGTTTTTCGTTACTTCCAGTGTCCCGTGATTGGCTGATTTACCGACCAATCCTTTTGGACATGCGACAATATTTCAAGCCGCGTGGAGTGCGCGAAATCGTGGCACGTAGCTATGAACAAATTCCGGTCTGTTCTTACATTGTGCATGGTTATTTTGGTGGCGGTATTTGCCCAGGAGGAAGAAGGCACTGCCGAAGCTTCCGAAGCACCTGCTGAGTCTCAAGCGCATCCCGAACCAAGTGAGTCCCTCGGGGGTTTATTTCTTTGGAACAATGGAAAATGTTTTTTCTCTGGCCAGATATACCTGCAAACTTATTTCAACATTTTGAAAATCAACATAAACCACTATCGCATGCATTGTAGGATATCACGGTCTAAATTTCAGCTTATCTTCTCTGAGCTCTTGTGCATATGCATGTGAATAACACCTCAAAAAATTCCGAATGTTACCATCTTTATTTCCCTTGTTTATAGGCAAAAAGCCCTCCAAAGCTTGTATACCGAAAGATGGAAAGTGCAGCGGAACACTAATTAAAGCTTGCTGCGGAAGCCTGGTATGTGAACTGTCAGGTCTATTCAAAGGACATTGCAAGGAGTGCCTCGAGAACGGTCGTGTGTGCACGCGCAATGTCCAGTGCTGTTCAGGAAAATGTTCCTGGACATTCCACTGTAGAACCCCCTGAGGTCAAATTTTAAAAACGTTGAAAATAAAACTATTCACTTGCAACAAATGGTGTTTTTCTTTTCTTTGCATTGATATTAGCTGACATCTAGATCGAGTTTTGTGTTGTACGGTTAAAGCCATTTGAATTTCAGCCATCCTGTACACTGAAGGACAAACAGAACTATCTAAGCTTCTTCAAAAGGAGTGTCTCTCGGTGGTATACAAGTAGATGATCGTTGAAAAGCGTGGGCATTAGATGAAACACATGGCGCAGAAGGCTGTTGGATTATATTAGTACTACAGGGATATAGAGAATAAAATGTCTACTTGGCGGTTAAAAGGGGTGGATAGGGTCACTGGCTGGTCACTTAGTGGCGATACTACGAACACTTCGCTTGGGATGTTTACCAATTAACTAAAAAATAACTTAAAGGAAAATCTAAATTCTACTTTGAAGACAGAATAGAAAGCCTCTGATGAGTTTGTCCAAGTAGTAGAAAGAGTGGGAGCCGCGGAATGCCTCAAAGCATCTGTCAACCGCAATACCCTTGAAATGATGCGGTGGTATAGTAGTCCTTCAGGTCCCTTGAATGCAGTGAGTTTCAGGAGGTTGTGTTCTTGTCAAAAGAATTGAACTATGATTAAATATTTGCAGAGTTGTCCACAGGAATTTTATTATGTAAGTCATATGCTTCGTAGAGCAGCTTTTGTAAACAAGCTCAAATAAAGGGTTACAAATTTACAAACTAATTTGACAAACTTTTACAAATTTTACAAACTAAGAAAAACCGATGTCAGAACAGAATTCTTTCTGTCCTGACACAATTGTTCTGTTGAGTACATAAATTATTGGGAAGGCACTGGATTGAAATTTCCCTCTTTTCAGCGTTTATCATCAGGGCGTATGGACAAGGACTCGAACTCCGGACGTTTGATATTTGAGGTAAGCGCGCCGATATTACTCCATGAGCGCACGCTGAAAGAACCTAAAATATCAAGCCTGAATGGCCACATATGCTTGCAACTGGGTGACCTTATTGGTTTGCCGGGCGTCTAGAATGACCATTCAACAATTGTGCTGGTTCTGCCGTTCAGTCGAACGCCTCGTCATGACTTTGACGCTACGGCTGCCTGGAATCTAATGGGTAATTCTAATTAATCGTAGTTGGTCGCCTGTATCATAGAAACACATTGCAATTCAAATATGCCTACATGCCCTCGCGAAGAAGCAGTAACACACTTTCTCCATCACACTTATTTCATATTGGGGTTAAAATTCCGGAAAAGCCGGGGATATCAACTTCTCATGGGATCTAAGGGGAACGGAAATTTGGACACATACCTTGAGGTTCACTGCGCCAACATAAAGCTTTTCCGTTTTTTCACATCACTGAACAGCACTGTAAGTTTTAGTGTTTTTGGACGTTCTTAGTTGAATAATGTGAGGAGGTTTAAATCCATAAGAGATAAGAATAGCCAAGGGTCACTTTATTCTGATGCGCATCTCGCCCACAAATACCTACTTGAGGTGAACAACGGTGTGTCTCGCCGACCCAAGTTATGAGGCCTTAAAACTTTTACATCACTTTTCAGCCTACTGATCATCGCCAGATGCTTTGTTTTTTTATTCCGATTTTTGATATATCCAAGTGGTTTTCATGCAGTCAAACTGTGTTCTGGCAATGTTTGATAAGTTTCTGATAAAATTTAGAGCTCCAGAAGTCAAATATCGAATGTCAGCCGTTGACCAATCAATGACACCCGTTGTTGGCATGCACATAATTAACGGACATTCGTTCTGCAGATCATGCAACTCCGTATGATCTTGTAACCCTGAAGTGTACAGAGCTTAAATCTGGTCCACTCGAGCTTTTAACAGTGTTACCAAGGTTCCGAAGGTTTCCCAGGAACAACCGTAACCAGTTCAAATGATAGTGACTTTTGCCTTTGGGGAAAATCGTTGTCAGTAGAGGTCATGTTAACTTCTTTCATGAGCAGTCTTACTCAATTCTAGTGACTAGTCAGAAGAGAGCTACTTACATGTGGGTTGCCAAAGCTCTGAGAGTCACGCATGTATGGTCAAGTTGGATCAAACTACGTAAGAAGATGTATACTACGTACGAGGAGACAATTTGGTGTAGCAGCTCGTCCTTTCATTTTGAAGCAAATGTAATTTCAATATTTTGGAATTTATGACATCCTTTTTTACGTTTGGGTAGTGCATTCTAAAACTCGTCACGTTCGAACACGTGACAGATCTGATCGATATGGAGACCAAGCGCTGTTAGATTCCTGACATATTCTCGTTGCGAGACCATTACTATAACAACACTGTAATAAGACTGAGAAGTACCAGATGCCGTGAAGTGTACAGCCCACGAAGGCAGTCCTTTCACAGGTTGGGTATTTTATGTTTTCAGTGTGCAACGGACGTAGTTAACACACTCCGCGACAATTGTCAAAATTCATGAGGAACCGAAATCATCTCCTACGAGGGACTGACGTAGCAGAAACGCCAACTCGATTCTGACGAGTCTTTTGCAACAAAAACGGTCATCGAATAACTAGACCGTCAAAGTGAAGCACATGGTTATAGTTTGAAAAGTTTTCGTTGTTCTTCTACCCCGAGTGCTCTTGTTTGGTCAGGTTACTTGAACATATATTACCGGTAAAAGGAGGGTAGACCTTTGCCGTAATAGTATTTATTTGCAACCACGAACCAAGCATTTACAAGCTATTAGACACAGAATCAAACATCTCGCCTGCACAGAGCTTTTGAAATTGGAATATCTTCAAGCATACTGTTGAAATTTCATGGAACTTCTTTGAATATTACAAATATAAACTACAGAGAGGTTCCGTAACTTCATCTTCCGTCAGATACAAAGGGAGGAGGCTGTACACTGTACAATAGACTATATGCACGCTTCATCAGTTATATGGACCGTTACGCATCATCCCCCTCGAAAATCAGTTACATTCCACCAATGTTCCATTCGCCTCAGTTAGTTAGGCTTCAGAAGCTGGTCTCTTTGTCACCTATTCGGGTGTGTCATGCCACTTCTGAAGCTGAGCAGCGTTTCCTATTTTTGATCCTCGACAGTCCTGAGTGGTACGGACGTCTGCTTAACGTTGGGTAAGGAAAACTGGCCTTGCCACCGACTGCCTAGCTTTCGCAACCCCAGTCCACTCCTTCCAGGATTCTGGTTATCTTTTCACTTGATTGTCCCGCCTATCGGGAATGGTTGTGCCTTCCTGCCCAGCGTTTTTACTGTTGTCCTTCCCTCAACAGCGGTCAAGTTTTATCGGACTCTCCCGTTCTCTCCCAACTCCTCTAAATACAGGCGAGTTGTCGGCCATAACCCAATTTTCTGATCAATTATAAGGCGTGGTTCTTGACCGCACACAAACATGAATTGGGAATTGACTGTGTTTGGGTGAATCGACACACGATTTTCTAAAAACACCATCGGTAAGTTCTCTCATTTGGACACCAGTCAATACTTAGTCTTTCAGCTATTTTGCGAATGTTACAGTGCCTCCTTAGACGCTTGATGCCAAGCTGCTGTAAGGAGCATCTGAACTCCTCACATTCAAAGCATGGCCTCTGATACGTTAGATCATTTTTTNNNNTCACGGTATATGCTAAAGTTGCCTCCCTTCACGGCAATGTTTTGCAGTACGTTCGTTAAATTGGAACCAAGCCTCCGAAAAAACGAATGCCATCCCCTAGATTGATAATGGGTGTCCCCAGGCGTAGACGGCAACTTCTTCCGGTCTTCGAGCTTCATAGCTAGTCATTAGTATCCGGAACGCAAGTAGAACGCTGTAAAATACAGGGATTCCTGGGGCGAATAATAAATCTCTCACCTTCAATTAACGGCCAGTTTATTCAGATGTACGAAATCCACGCAAAATCCGTATTCCCTTTTCGCATTCTTCACAAATACCTCGGGGCGTTGTACGCACCGTTGGCCTCCTCATTTATGCCATCTTTTAACATCTCTTAAACCTGTTCATAGACCACCTCTCCTAGATGGAGCGGTGGTTTACGGCGCCCACAAGATCGAAGGCATTCTGTATATACGGCTACGTAAGTATCCCTGACCCGCTCACTCTGATGGGGGATCACAATACAATAAAATGACTATTTTCACGTCCCGGGTGGGCTGCCTCTCTATGACCTTTTCCTGTTCCATTAGATATTTCTCCGTAAGAACTTGGAATATATGTGGAACTTTATTTTGCTTTGCTTTAGAAAGCTGCCGACAAAAGCAGTTGCAAGATTTGCCCCGGGGAGTAGTGCCTAGGGGCTGGCCAGCAAAAAATATTCACTCTTAAAGCATTGGAATGACCCAACACAACTAGCTAACAAGTAGTACCTGAGACAAACAAAGAACATGCAGTCTTCAAAATAATTTCGTTTACCAACCAGTTGAGAGATTTTGCCATCCGTACCTCCATGTAGTACGGTAGCAGATACTGACATATAATACCGTCGTTATAAATATTAACCAATAATTCACTGTAGCCTCAATCGATCAGAAAATTAATTAGTTTTTGAAAAATTAAATACCCACCTCTTTGAATCTGCATTCCTCAGAGATTAACTGAAGACCACTCAGCAAGCAGCTCCTAAAATTCTCCAACATTTGGGGCATGAATCCTAGTCGGTTCCAAAACGCTCATCTTATATTCACAGAGAAGGAAATCCTGTGGTCCTTTTTGTGCACTAATGAGTTTACCGTCGTTTTCGGCCCTTCGATAGTACTCACGAGAAAGTTTAACCACCAAAGAAGGAAATAAATATTTATGCATTCATTGCCGCTGCGGGACTACACAGGCCTAAAAATACTGAAATTTATATTTTTTCTGAAAAACCATGTTTTGGATTTTGAGGATTTCTCATAAGTTAGGCGCACGTCCCTTACGTGCTTAGCTGGTTATTTGGTGCATGCATTTTTTTCTGAATACATTAGATATAACAGAGATACAAGAGATACTAAAATCAAAAAAGTACCGGAGATACTAAGATACTAAAATACTAAAATCTATATTGAAACGAACACCCATTACTCAATTTGACCTTGCACGTATGACCAAAGTAAGCCACTCGAAGACGACCTCAAATAGCAAAGAAGGTGCTTCAGTACCTTAAAGTTTGATCTAGTTGATGCATTCTCTCCAAGAAACATTAACTTTGCAACGTTTTTAATAAAACAACAATGAAAATAAGAGGTTTGGCTGAGTCTTCTGAAAAATTCATCTTATTCTGCAAGCGAGCCTTTAACTAAACTGGGAACATCCCATGCTTTTGATAATTTCAGCTCAGTTGAAAAACTGTGCTTGTAATCACTAGGCAATATGTGTTTTTCAGTATTAAATTGCTAATGATTAATGAGTATTTCGGATTTTTTTGTTTTATAGTCATTCTGGCCAATGAAAGCATTTTCTAAACCGTGAAAAATCACCTGAGCTTTTCATAAGCTTATTTCGACTTAAGATCTGCCGCATAAGGACTACAATTACCATAGCCTCACCAGGCAGAGAAGAATGACAAACCCAAGTGACATGTGTCCATTATTTGCGGTTTCTAAAATGGTGTAGGTTTCCAAAAGGTTAGGCTGAATAAACCTTTCCGTTGTTAGAAATGAGAAAGGTTTGCCGTGGTCTTACGTACATAGCGTTGTCCAACAAACGTAAGAGGCTTGCAGGAGACTAATGCGAGAAAAGGTGAGATAACTAGACACCACAACGCGTCACCAGTATCACCCTTACCATCAGCGTCGTCATTGTTGTCAATATCAACTTCAATATCAACATTAATAATGCAACTCCTCGAATATTTATTCTTCATTGCGTAGCTGATCGACAAACTAAATTTGAAAGCGGAAAGTAAATGACTGCAGTCTGCGACCCAAAGACGTAGACGAGAGTCGCACCACATGAAAAAGCAATTTTCAATTTTCCGTCCGAGACAAAGACTATCCTTCAAAAGCTTCGAAATAACATACGGGGACATTCACTCTTATCAGACATCGTGACCGAATGACGCATACTTGGTCCACATAATTTCACCCATTGTTTAGCTACTTGAATGTCGCAAGCAATATGATCGATTTCGTGTTTTAGGTCGGCGCCGTTTCGAATGCGGAACCTCGAGCAACTTGTAGTTTTATGAAGTATTCACGTAGATTTAAGTCATGTTGTTGTCGTTTTTTCAGATGAAGGGTTCAGTAAATTGTCTCAATACGAATGTTCGCTAGCATCGAAGTTTACCACAGAGAACAATCATGAATTCCCTTCCAATGAATTGACATATATCAAGAAATAACCCGAAACTAGTACCACGCACAAGTTTATAGAAAAATTAACTTCATATCCTTACGAAGATTCAGAAAACTTTATCTGACTGTGTTACCCACGACCAAAATGTTTGGAACTTACGTATTAGTTTTCTTGGCACTGTTCATTTTCAGCTGGTAATACTTACGGCGAAAAGATGGTAATTCGGATAGAAACGTAGGACAAATCCGACGGGGGTTTTGGAATTATGTTGTGCTTCATGCATCTCCAGTGTTCCCATTCGAAAATTTTTGGTTGAAGATTTCCGAACACGCGGTCTATGGGAGTTTTTAATGAATTGGAAAATATTTGAGACCGACTGAGTACTCATCGTTTCAGAGGAGTTTGGTGAGTAGTCAGTGGATTTATTGATAGGCAAACATCACCTGAGGATTTCAAATAACTCAGTACCAAATCATCACAATTAAGATCAGCGCAGTAAAACAGTGCAACTAGGCAAGCTCAATGATTGCTTTTCACGGCTCACTGTTCTAGTCATCCAACAGAAAAGTGTAAGACATCTGCTAGTTGTTGTAGCGTAGTCAATATATCAGATAGACCCTGAAGTAACAAAAAACGTTGCCTGTTGGAAAAGAGATTAAACTTCGCTTTAAGTAAAAGAGTTTTAAGAGCAGAGGAGATTATTCTTAGTATTGAGTTCTTGTTTCAGAAACTTCCTTAAATGGATGCGGAGAAATTACCTGTGCAGTTGGTCACAGTCCTAAGGCTCCGATAACCAGAGGCTCAAGCTGTTGCACCGAAAGACCAAGGACCCTTAAATGGCTTGAAATATATATACAGTATGATGATTACCAAAGTGGGTAATGGAAGGCCAGAATTGTCAAGAATAAGATTGACTAGCTGCAGAAAGTTGAATAACATTCGGTGACAACCGTAATACGAATCTCATGAAATCCAGCGTATGGGATGGAGAACAGCTTCAGTAAATACGGCACCTGGAAGGTTACAAATTCTTTGATTTTTTGTAGAGAATGAGTAAGCTGACTGCTATTTTTTCATTTATAGCCCTAAAACGATAGATCACACAGAACGGTGAAGATCGTACATCTTAGCTTGTAGAAACTCCTAGGCATGCCTGGCGTTTGTATTCGAGCACATGGAGCCCCCGATACGTTGCATAGCCAGAGATTTGGGACAGAAGAGAAAGCTTGAACTTATATCCAAACCAATACAAAGTTACTGAAAGGAAAGAGGCTTAGGACGGACTTGTGAGCACTCATCCGGCAAAAGAGAACTCATGTGTTCAAGCCCCGTAATCTTGATAACTTGAATTCCCCATCATATGAAGTATGGATCATATTGGATCAGCTTCAGATACCCTATACTTTCATGACACATGAGACTGGTTGAAGGCTAGAGACCATTACATGCTGAGACCTAACTGACACTGTTGGTCTGGTTGTTTTAATGCAGTACATTATAGTGCTGCCTCATCGACTTTTAAACGACTGAGTGTTTTGAGCGCCAAACGGAAGAGCTAGCCGGAGTAAACATGTACCTCAAAAAGATTGACACCAGACTAGTTTGACTAAGTGTCATTTATCAAAAGGGTTTGTACATGCATCCGGACATTATAAGAAAAAATTATCAAACGCTGCGCCATGCGATCTGAAGTCTAACGCAAAACAAGGTATAAAGGAGAATACTCACAAGGTTGCTGAGAGCTCCTCGACAGCCGACTACCGGTTTCGCCATTCTTGGGCCCCATCAGGTAGGCACAGTCCCCGAGTTTCCGTCAAACTTATGTTCTACTTGAAGGCATAAACTTTTTTATTTCTTATTCAGATTGCCCCGAGAACTGTTGACCAACAAATATCTGATGTGCCATGAAACAGAAAAGTATGCTTTTATTCATTAACCCTCTCAGTAGTCCATCACTCGAAACAGTAAATCCGAACCACTCGTTGAAAGCGAAATCCCCGACTCTTTCTGTGTCTGCCCTAGGATCTGCATCAACCTGATGATTTAGTGTCGAGAACATTCAGGCTTCCTGCAACAAATATGAGATTTTATAGATGTTTTCGACGGAATATAAACAACCACAGTGCGCGACCTCACTACGTTTATACAGTTCCTTAGAAGTATCTTATGATTTCCACGCGAGATGAATTTAGTAAAATGAGCACCGGTTGTTTTGCACTGAAGAGATTGAAAACAGAACCTATATTTCACTACGGAAGCAGTAGAAACATGAATGCTTCCTTATTTCTTTGCACAGATATCGGTAGGCCGTTATAGAAAAATCGTGCTGGTAGCACCTCAGTCTCTATTGTTTACATAGAGATCAGCACGATCTGTCAGTTTCTACTAATTAAAATTCTTAGATCGATACCGTGCAACTGGTACCAGTATGGTCTTTTGGAATATTCATCCCTCACATGCTGTAGAGGCCTACTACCACTCAGCAGTGGAGGGGCCTGGTCATACACTGAACATACATGTAATCCGAACATGTATTGGAGCCTAGGATATATAGTGATCAAGACGCTTCGGAAGATTTTAACACGACCCCATCTGTCATCGAATCACTACTCTTTTCAGAAAATGTCTAACGATCAATTGACGAGTTATGGAGGCGTTAGTGTATGAAGAACAGTGGATGGGAGAGAAATAAGTGTTCTGAATTAAATATTAGTCCCTGTCCGACGCTTGTGCTACCAGGTGTCCTCATTTGACCTCCTGAGCCCTTTTCACTATTCGCACTGGGCTAATCTGCCGTATTCGCTCTGTCCACCGCTGGCAGAATTCTCCGTCAATGCTTCATTGCTCTTATGGTTATTATTTTGCAACGCGGTGGAGGATTTTCAAACCATTATGACTTCCGCAGTCAACTTGGTGATGATGGTGTTCGACCATAAAGTCGTTGTTGCGAACTTCGTCCTAAAATAGTTCACACCTGTTTCTCATGAATGAAGACGTTAAAGTGGCTTCAAATAAGCTGTAAGTGAGGAAACCTGTTCTAAGAACCCGAAAATTACTAAGCCGTTCAAACAATTATCCAGACGGTTGCAGGTTCAAATCTCCGTGGAGTTTCATGTATTCACACTCTTGATGATTGCTAATAATAATTGCTAATAATAATAGGTTGTTAAAGGATTTCCAGCTTGCTAGCGTAGATTGACTCCACTTACATTACGTTATTTTGGTTAACATTTTTTTTAAAGTTGCTACAGACTAAAGGCTCTCCGTTTAACGCGCTCAAAGAGGAGAAATTAGTTAACGCTTTACACTCGCGGTAAAATTGTATTTCTGCAAAGAGAGACACGCATTTTTGGTACCCGCCATCCAAACGTTTTGCACAAGGGTCATTTCACAAGGCAGTTGACACGATGATTGAGATGTTACATATTTTTACATTGCACAATTTTCATAGGTTCAAAGAATTCTCAACAAACTTTTGATTTTTTTGTAATGTCTCGATAAAAAGTAATAAAATTGCACCTTGGAGAAAGCCCGTATTACTTCAAAGTGACGAAGTGTACTGTCAACTAAACATTGTGCCTCCGAATAAGGAAGAAAGGAATCAAACAAGCGACGGAGTACCTAGTAGTAGCCTATGTAGATAGATTTGTTCTTCCACAGTCAGTATGTCCAAAGAAGCAAAAATTCACATTCACCCGTAGAACGACGTTTGTCCAAGGACGAAAAAGCAGTTTAAAATTTCTCTAGGCAACTTTAAGGGAGTTAGAAAAAAGGCGATTGCGGACTTTTATTAAGGCTAAAATGGAAGCACTAAGCCAGCACATCCCGGCTGTTTTGCTAAATGGCGTAATATAAATTGTCCCTAGAAGATGAGGTGTTGAGCAACTGGCAAACGCAGTTGAGAATTCCAGCATGACTCAATTTAACTCACGGGCATGGCTTCTGCGCCCATTAGAAAATCTTAGTCAATAAGATTTGATTAATTGCAACAAAACCACCGAGACATTCGGAGGAAACATAAATTTAGAGGAACGATCGGGTAATAATTTACAAGTGTCAGTCAAATTCAATACTTACGAGATTTAAACCGAAGTTGTGTCAATGTCTTTCCACATACCATTTTGGTACAGCTCCAGTTCTCTTTTGCTGTGTCCGTTCGGATTTACAAACCAATGCCTTCACATGTTTCCTTGTATGTTTGTCGAATTCACTCGGGATATTTTCCCTCCGACATCTGTAGACATGTTTATCATGTCAGAAATTTGCTTCAGATGAAAATAGCCATCTTTCTACCGTGGTGAAATAGGTTACTTCAATTAAGCAAATTGAGGAAATCTCCTGTGTAGACCATGTAAAGTCCAGCTAATGTAAGAACCTTCAACAGAACAACACCATCATAACTAATAAGGATTTTAAACTGGAAGTCATGAATAGAAGAAAACACAAAGAGTAATGTACGACTGTTCCGGCACAAAGAATGGAAGGGTCCGAGGTTCAGAGACGTATACATATCCAGTAGGGTTACGAAACAGGAGTTAGATGACATTCCTAGTTAGCCACTAAAGTAAATTATGGAGACCCGAGAAAATAAAAAGCTTAGGGCTTACCTTAATAAAATCATCGCTGTGATAAAAAATATTATCGGTGATAAACGTCGTACATGTTGAGAAATATCCCCTCAAGAGTTCATTCAGCGCAATTCATGAAACTTGAAATGTGATACAAAAATTAGTACATGGCGTTTTCAGAAAATTGGGAAGGAATCCAGTTCCACGGTGTATGTCAAAGTACATTGAAAAAGGCTTGAAGTGTTGGTTACCAGTTTAAGGAACCAAAATTGAAAAGAACTGCAATTCTTCCTGCTTGTCGGCACGCGCAGTAGTAGGAAATAATCGCATGACTGAATAGTTATTGGACCGTTATGAAAGAATAGGTTGCCCCCGATCCTTGAACCACCAGTACGCAAATGTTTTGAAGACGTTTACTTCGCCGTACGAGCCGTGAATAGCCACTCTTGGTGAAACTCATTCAAGAAGATACAGTGAATGAAAGAGACACTGTGGTAAGTAAGTTTTGGAACCAGCCACCTAAAGACCTTCGAGAATGATCTGAAACGAAGAATAAGATGAATAAGTGGGATTCGGTTGAAAGTACGAATGCGCGGGAAAAATACTTGACTATAGTTGAAAAAAGGAAACCGGTTTGGATTAAAACATGATGAAGCAACAAAAAGCATGAAACAGATCACAAATGACAACGTTTGTAAATGCAAATTGATACGGCAACCCCAAATCCAAGGGCGGGCCTTACAAGCCTCTTCGGCAACGGTCTGAAAGACCATTCTTCCAACAACCGATATTAAAACAGACCTTTGAATGTCCCGTGTTCAGCTGTCCTAAGATGACTGGGAACAGGTGTAATGAAAAGGAACTAATTCATTTGGCTTAAAAACCTCCAATGTATGGTGGTAATAAGATAGTGAAACATCTAGGAGCGGCATTGCAACAACCATGACATTTTATCCGAACGTCACTGGACAGGGTCGCACTGTTTAAAATGATACAATGGCACAATGAAGTTAGGGAAAATGTGGCCATCCTTTTGCTTAGCCCAATAATTTTTACGTATCAAACGCTCATCTGTACTCTCGTTAAAAACGGTTCCTCTTTGAGATGGCTTTTTAGTCGCGTGATTTTTTGTTGGCTGGCGGAGTCAGTTCATTCCCCCTTCACCGGACTCAACTGTGTGCGGTGAAAAGGCGAGGAAGTAAAAAATGCGCATCTGATTGATTTGGACCAAAAAATCCGTTATCAGATATTGCAGATGAAGGAATCCCATCAGAATCAACCGATTTTTGCTCCTTTTTGGTATACGATTCTACAGCCTTTGAGTGAGAAGGCTAGAGGAGGCATTGGTACCCCCATCATCTGCGTCACGAATGTCTTCCGCCGGCTTCCGTTTGATTTGTTGTCAAAGTAATCCAACACCAAAATACTGTTGACTCTACAACATCCAAAATATTATACCATCCAGCATTTTAAACTCTGCCAAGCAAAAAACGTCGATCAGGCACAGCCGATGTAGTGTAAAGCAGTTCACGCATTCAAACAGTGGATCACTTTAACTCCGTTTATACTTTTCTCGTAGTATGAGTGATTTCGCATGAAGTGCAATTGTTGGGCGCAGTTTTACAACCGATTAGTTTACGAAGATGCCTTTATCGACTTTCATTCTGGTACGGTCATCAGTATCCTACTTTCGGTAAGCTGGTTAGCCAACACTGACGTCTATTTTAACGGGCTGTCATTGGCCGGCGTGTCAGCCAATCCCTATTGAAATCATTTGTTATAAAAGGCAGCGAGAACAGTGTGGAATATAAAAAATGATCATGAACTGTTTCCTTCAATTTATCGTGGCTTTCGTCGTCATCTTTGTGTATACAGTGGCTAAAAAGGATGAGAGCGATTTTGGAGCGCTTCTTAAATGGCCTCCTGCAGCAAGTTGGTCGTTTGCGTTTGTGTGGCTTATCGTTTCGTCAATATAGAGGCGTCGTTTTCGTTATATTGAGCTAGAATTTGAGTAGTTCTTGGCCTGTTTATTAGGAACATTTGAAGATCCATTGGGTGGTAATTTAGGTCTTTACAACACGACTTTTACGTTGTCCTCAGCCATCTAGCAATTGTGACGAGATCGATGTTGCATAACATAAAATCGGTACCCGATAAGATATCCTTTACCTCTGTACCTGCACAGGTGTAATATCTTCCGAGTTTTGTGTACCAAAGGATGGACAATGCAACTGGACACCACTGAAACCTTGTTGTGGAAACCTGATATGCCAGTTGACAGGTTTCTTCAGGGGAACATGCAAGGAGTGCATTGAAACTGGCCGGCTATGTCTTCGTAATGTGCACTGT